TATTGTAGTATTCACCTCCGGAGTTATATTTCAATCAGATACAGATTAATAAATTGAACTAATATGTAATTTTTTTGCGGTTCTTATAGAACCTTCAAACACAAATTCGAACAAAAATATTACATGTTGGTAATATCATGTATAATAATAAAAACACAAGTATTTATTATCCATGGCAATATTCAAGAAATTTTCTCCCATTACAACAAGCTCATATTTCCTGCGCCGAGAATTTTTGCCTTGCTATAGGCCTGCCCATAGAAATAATAGTTGAGACATGATTGTGATCAAGTACGCATTCTATATCTATTATTTCTATGGGCCTGTCTTACACTATCAAAGTATCTGTGATCAGGGGAGGGGGGGGGGCGACAGCCTCTCTTTAAGGACTTGCTAAGAACATCGTAGACTGGAAAATCCCTTATGCTGAAATTAATAAGCGAAACCTCTGTATGGCATGATGAAAGTTCCATGAAGACTATAAGCCATTCAAACTAACACAGTTATTATAGTATTTGCTGTGCCAACCAAACATGGGCACGAGCAGCCTAGACCTACGCCTTCACTCGGCTGCCTTTGGCAGGTTTGGTCAATTTCCGGCTAGCATTTGGTAATTATCGCAATCGTATCGGAACCAAAAAAGCTGGTATCGCCAACATCACTTCCTGAATATTACCAGCATGTAATACTAAAGTTTGAATTTGTGTTTGGCCCTATAAAGGGCCGCAAAAATTGCATTAGATTAATCTTTAATAAGCCGTGAATAAGTGAAGATGAAACATCAGAGATGACAAAACTACCAACATGTCTGTTAGTTTATAAAACATTCAAAGTAACGCGGTTATTGTGGGACGTATTCAAATACGGTTTGAAATACAGTGAAACATTGAATATACCGATGCAAAATTTGAAACACCACAGAAACGTTGAGGCGGATTTCCGCAGGCTCCTCTATATAGATCAAATTTAAATATCAGTAATATATATATCAGCGCGTGCACTGCAAGCCCGATAAAGACGCACGCCTTATGCGCACGCCTGCAACTAAGGACGAGCGCGCAAAGGAAAATGGGTGTTCGATCGTCCTTATTCTGTGTCGAAGGTCCCTTGTCCCAAAAGGACCACAAAAATTGTAATGATGTTTATTTATTTTTTGTTTTTAAATGTCTTTACTTACAATATTAGCATTATATACAGGTGAGTTTACTGTCGGACCACTCGCATGGTCGTACACGCAGACTATAAACCATTTACACCAACGCAGTTATTATGGGACGTATTCCAATGATTCCAAATCATAGAAATAATAGATATCTATTATTTCTATGTTCCAAATATATCACGCGCATGCGCGAGATGGGCCTAAAATTTCTACGCGCGTGCGTCACGTAGCACACCAAGGACCTGGGTTCGAGGCTGTTGTGTGAATGTATTCTATAAGCAAGCACATGCTCAATGAAAGTTGAAACACAGAATTTACAGATGCAAAATTCTTACTGTGATCAAACAAGGCAAACGGAAATAAATATTTCTTATTAAATTATTGTTGAATGTTGTGTTTGACCAAATGTCCCATCACAGAATAGGTCCCATAAGGACCGCAAAAATTACAATTATTTCGAAACACGAAAATCGCGAACTTTGGATTCTTGTACACTGAAGGTCAATTTTTTGTGCAGTTTATAAACCATTCACACAAACGCAGTTATTATGGGACGTACTCCAATATCATTCCAAATATATAACGCGCATGCGCGAGATGTCGGCTAAAATTGTTGTGAACACAGGGCACCAGGTTTATTCATACTTTTCTTGAATATTGTGTTTGAAGGTTCCATATGGATGGCAAAAGTTGGCATGCTTCAATACAAGCTATATTCTACTGAAAAGGATGTATGACTTCACATATCTGGTGGTAATGTTCTTAGCAAGCGCCCTGAAGGCATTCACCCCCTAGAACATTAAACTTCAATATGTTTTCTGAACACTGGATGAAATTAATGTGTATGCATTGTTAGCCAATGGAAAACATCGACCTGGATAGAAGAAGCCAGGGACAACTCACAGTACTCCAAATCACTTTGGACTGTGATGTCTGAATTGCTAGCATGGAGTCTGATGCCTAAATAACTGGTCAGTTGTCAGTACCACTAGGAGCATGTTTGGAGCGGAAGTAGAGAACAATGGATTGCAAGGTTGGTACCACCATAGACATGATCTTCACAGAGGATGAAAGGGCTTTCTCAACAGATACTATGACCAATGTTTTATATCATATTGAGTGTATAAGGCATTCCAACATTTCAAGAAGACACTGGATGGCATTTTGTGGCCATGTAAACACTACTATATAGCCAGAGTATTGAACAATTGTGAACTACAGTTTATTGACTGCAGAAATGGATCAGAATTATTTACTGAAAGTCTATTTAAGTTGCCTTGTAGTGCATATTATGCTACAATCTATTGTGTGTAAAATTTAGTAAGCATTGTAAATATATTATCTTGGTAAGTTATGAAGAAATAGACTGTGTTAATAATTATTTGACCATGTTCTTTCATCTGATTGCATCAGGGGTATGAAATTGGTGCATATGTGAGTATAAATCCCAACCATTTCCCTTCACACCTGGTTTTTCATTTCCATAAAATATTTGTTGTCATTATCTTCCTCCCCAGTAACATAGTTCTTTCCCAACTCGAAGTTGTCACCCTAACACTATTTAGTCATCTCTTATGACGCACAGGGGTTACCATAGAGGTAACATTCTCTCTCCATTCCACAAGGATATCCATAGTTTTTGTACTTCATTGTACCTGAATATCCATATTTGTCCCTGGATACCCATAATTACCACTCATCAAATGTCATTGTCCCAGAGCATCCATGTTTATACCTGGATATCCATATACCTGGATATCCACATATACCCCTCATCAAATGCCATTAAATTGTACTAGAATATCCATTTTTGTACACGAATATCCATTTTTGTACCCGGATATTCATATTTGTACCTGGATACCCATAGGTACCCCTCTAGTAACTTGTACCTTGATAATTTGTACCTGATCATCAACAATCATCCTTCATCATCCTCTTCATCAAATGACAACAACTTGCTGTTTTTAACTGCTTTGACGTCTGTTTTCTTTTTCTTTCCACTTTTCTTGACATCTTTGTCACTCGAGGGTCGTTTCTCAGGTTTCTTAAATATTGGCTTGTCATTCTTGCTGTCCCAGCAATCTATGGTAACAAAAAAAAACACATCAATACCAACAGAGGCGCCGGAATATCGATAAGGGCAGATATTCATATATTCGTGTTCACAGACTGTAAAAACAATCGATTTCAAAAGAAATTAATTGGGCAGAACACGAATATATCAACAGAAGTAGCAATGCAAATTAAGGCACATTTACATGACAGTTAGTCATGTATGAAAACGATTGCTGACACCACTATTCAGTTTAGGCCAATGGAACTGTAGATTCTGTTTACCGTCTGAGAATTTAAAAAATCTGATGCGGGTTTTTTTCATTATTCATTTTTCATTATTTTTGTTTTGTCTATTTTCCAACCAAAAATGATCCTTAAATCGTTTTCTTTTGATTTCGACTATCAACACTTTTGTCCAGCATTCTTTTATCATTTTTGGGCTTTCCTTTGCTGAAAATTTCTTTGTCACGCCATTGTTTTCGAATTTGCACATGTCAGACTCGCGAATTTCCGAGTGTACCGAACAAATGCTGACTGATCCATCATACATCCGTGATATACGGCTTTTTATATCGAAGATTTGATGATTTGATGTATATTTGAAAGTTTCGATGCGTAGAATTAAAAATAATGACAAATAATGAAAATAATTAAGAATAATGAAAAATTCTTGCGGTAGTTTCAAGCACATGCGGGCGGTGGACGGTAAACAGAATCTACAGTTCCATTGGCCTTATGGGGAAATTTGTTTATGCATGAAAAGTTACTAATATTTCGAAGTTTAAGAGGTTGCACATCAAATCAACTGCCAACTGGTACTTTGATAGTTCATAAAACACCTTCTAAATGTGCACCCTATAAATTCAAGATACTAGCAGACCCCAAACTACCCATGCTTGCATAAAATTTTCACTAATTTTGTGGAATTTCCAGTTTAGCGAATATTTTTGTGCAGTTTTTTTTTACTTTTTTGATACACCGTGATTACATTCTGTATTTTACAACATAAAGCAACAATATTTCAACTTATAAATTTGTACATATTTCGAGAGATAACTTCAGTATCACATTACACTGCATACAATACCTGTATTACTATTCTCTTCCTTATATTTCGCCACTTCATCAGCGTTCAAATCGCCTTGTTTCAACACAACTATCACCGGTTGTTCTTCTTCATTTTCCCGCTCATTTTCATTGCTTTCGCTTTCAGCATTGTCTTGTTCTTCAGAGAATTTATCATTGATATTTGCTGACTCTTTGTAGCCAACTCTTTCCTTAAATTTCTTCAAAAATGATGGCTCTGCTTGCTCCACGTATTTTACGTTCCTTTTCGACGCCATTTTGGACTTCAGAACTGTTGTTTCAGATTATCCCCCCCCCCCCGGGAATAACTCAATAATACATGTCTGTTCAGGGGGGTTGACAATTCATTGAATTAAAAATCGAAGCACATACCGTGCACCAAGAATGGACAGATACAGAGGAACATTGTGATCAATGGATTTTCAAAACAATGAAAAGACAATGGAACATTCTGGTCACTGGATCATGACTGGAGGCATGGGGAACAGTGAGATTTTCAAAACAATGAAAAGACAATGGAACATTCTGATCACTGGATCATGACTGGATGGCATGGAGAACAGTGGGATTTTCAAAACAGCAAAAAGATAATGGAACATTCTGATCACTGGATCATGACTGGATGGCATGAAGAACATAGATGGTACTATTGCTATGCAAAGTTTAAAAGGAAAATAGTCAAATAGAGGCAATTTAAAAATATATATAGTATATTCTTAAATAATCCTTAATATATACACACTAATATTTACGACACATAATAGTGTTTGTCATGTGATAAATTGTAGTACCTATCTATATTATTCCTATAGAAGAAGAATTTCAGTACTGTTCTAACTTATCCAGTGTTTCAGAATTTATATTATCTTATATATATTATTTAATTTATTAATAATTTTTCTATAGTTTATTGTCCAGTAACTATAAAAGGAACTCATTTCTACTCCAACAATAACTAAGCTAGTAGTAAAAAATAAATAAATCGAAAACAATGATTACTTAGTCATTTTTGGATGGAGATTTCTTGGGTGTGTTATTTGATACTATTGTTAAAGCCGCCGTAGTTGTAGGTGTGCTCATTGATTTAACTGCATGTTCACACAGTGTAGTAAATTGACTAACCGAGCCAACTAACGAATCTTTGAGCCAGGGAAGAAGTACTGTGTAACTGCCTTGCTGTTGAGATAATCGACGTTCTAGTTCCATGTTAATGATCTCAACTCCGCTTCTAATTAGCATTTTAACTCCTTCTAATGAGATCACAAATTCGCCCAAAACTTGGTCGCTCATAGGCCCTTTGTTCGGTGTGCTTTGGTAAGCTTTCTCTAAGCGAACTAAATCACGAAGAAATGCTTTATACCCGCCGTACATGTTGTATTCCTCGTTGTTTAATCTTCTATTTATTGTGGCGTAAAGCTCTTTTATAAGATCCGAACAAAATTCTTTTGAGATGCGTTTGTTTTCGCGTTCGTAGTGTACTTGTAGTTCCCATAACGTGTCCTGAAAGATTTAAGCAACGTATTAATTTAAAGCCTTGGACAAACCACGAAACATTGTTTCCTAGCCATATTTCCTGACGGTGAACAAACCAGGAAACACTGTTTCCTAGCCATGTTTCCTGAAGGTGGATAAACCAGGAAAAACATTGTTTCCTAGCCATGTTTCCTGAAGGTGGGCAAACCAGGAAACACTGTTTCCTAGCCATGTTTCCTGAAGGTGAACAAACCAGGAAAAACATTGTTTCCTAGCCATGTTTCCTGAAGGTGGGCAAACCAGGAAACATTGTTTCCTAGCCATATTTCCTGAAGGTGGACAAATCAGGAAACATTGTTTCCTAGCCATGTTTCCTGAAGGTGGACAAACCAGGAAACATTGTTTCCTAGCCATGTTTCCTGAAGGTGAACAAACCAGGAAACATTGTTTCCTAGCCATGTTTCCTGAAGGTGGACAAACCAGGAAACATTGTTTCTTAGCCATGTTTCCTGAAGGTGAACAAACCAGGAAACATTGTTTCCTAGTCATGTTTCCCGAAGGTGGACAAACCAGGAAACATTGTTTCCTAGCCATGTTTCCTGAAGGTGGACAAACCAGGAAACATTGTTTCCTAGCCATGTTTCCTGAAGGTGAGCAAACCAGGAAACATTGTTTCCTAGTCATGTTTCCCGAAGGTGGACAAACCAGGAAACATTGTTTCCTAGCCATGTTTCCTGAAGGTGGACAAACCAGGAAACATTGTTTCCTAGCCATGTTTACTAAAGGTGAACAAACCAGAAGACATTGTTTCTTAGCCACGTTTCTTGAAGGTGGACAAACCAGGAAAAATACAGGAACATAGATAAACGTTACTCACTGTTAATTTTTGTTCCATTTCATTTGTATTTGAGGCTTTTTGCAAAACTTTATGTCTTTTAAATCTTTTCATGGCTTCGCTTCTCAACTCCGCGCTAAAATTGTCCAGCTCTTCAACAGACATTGGCTTAATCAATCTCTCGTTCATTTTCTTTCTATAATTATGAGTTATACTCTCTTTTTCACGGATAAATTCAGCTTCAACGATGTGGTTGATAATACTAGGTATGCTTGGCGTGCTGCCATTATTCAGTGAGCTGACATAGCTCTCCGCAAGGTAATTAAAGTCTGCAAAATAAACCAATTGCAAAATATCAGTGAGGATAAACCAAGGCAAGCGGCTGACCGCGTTTTCATCAGTGTTTATGAATTAAGAGACAGATCCGACGAATACTTACGATGTCCAGTGATTTCGACCTGATTGACGACTTTGACAGGCGAGGAACCAAGCGCGCATTTTATAAAACGATGAACCTCTTCAAGGAATGCGGGACGAAATTCATCTTCCGGTAACTCGTCCAAATTATTCAATTTTTCTTCGTCTACGACAGGCCTAAAGCAATTATATACGCCACAATATTAATCAGTTTATTTAAGGCAATTGTGCAAACTTTAATAATAATAATATAATGTTTCCTGGTTTGTCCACCTTCAGGAAACATGGCTAGGAAACAATGTTTCCAGGTTTGTCCACCTTCAGGAAACATGGCTAGGAAACAAATACACACCTTTTCAAAGTGAAACATTTTCTGGTCGGGAAAAATTCCCGAATCTTTTTTCTCACTTCATTTCTTTGTAGGTTCCGTGCGCCAGGCTTGTCTTTCAACGCATGCTCTAAGTATTCATCCGCTGTGCACGGTCGTTGCTCAATCTTGAGGCTCAAACTGAAATCACGCACGACCCAAATAAAGAATGGTGAAAATACGTCGTCTGCAGTATCGTTTCCAGCGGAGTCATCTTCAGTTCGACTGAGCTGTATAAATTCTATCATTTGCGTCACTAAGCTGGACAGAAGAGAAACATGGTTAGATCATGCAGGTAGTACATGTTCTTGAATGTGAGCTACTTTAAAGTGATCGGATGTTGTACAGAACTCACTGCTGAGTTAAAGTGATCTGATGTTGTACAGAACTCACTGCTGAGTTAAGCATGGTTAGATCATACAGAGGTAGTACATGTTCTTGAATGTGAGCTACCTTAAAGTGATCTGATGTTGTACAGAACTCACTGCTGAGTTAAAGTGATCTGATGTTGTACAGAACACACTGCTGAGTTAAGCATGGTTAGATCATACAGAGGTAGTACATGTTCTTGAATGTGAGCTACCTTAAAGTGATCTAATGTTGTACAGAACTCACTGCTGAGTTAAGTATGGTTAGATCATGCAGAGGTATTACATGTTCTTGAATGTGAGCTACCGTAAAGTGATCTGATGTTGTACAGAACTCACTGCTGAGTTAAGTATGGTTAGGTTATGCAGAGGTAGTACATGTTCTTGAATGTGGGCTACATGTGGGCAATCTGTGTATTACCTTAAATTTTGAATTGCGCTCTCATCTATCGCATTCCAGCTATTATATACCACACAGCTGCTAAGCAGGACCGCTAAGGCAAACACGTGGACATCTTGATTGATCCCGTCTTCCTTCTCTGTATCTCCCAATCCCTCGCTATCCAAGACTACCAAGCATTGTTCCTCATTCCACGGGTGATCCCTACACCATACCCAGATCCCTTTCGTATTCGCCTCGGTCGAACCTCCAATTGAAAACCCTGGCTGGCCAAACAGACGATTCATGAGAAACGATTTACCTGCAGAATGAAAAAAATTATTAAATAAGTGGATTTCGTTCAGCACTATCGTACAACAGTTGGTGGTCACCGCCGGCTACAGAGGTTTCTTAAACGAAAGCACATTATGTCGAGGTGTTAAAAATTTCCGTATTAAAATGGTGCCCAAACGAAGGCAGTGGCCTAGCCAGCCCGACAATTTAGTCCCGCTATGCAAATTCAAAATTATTATCATTATTCATTTCTGATTTTTTTTGTGTTGGCGTAATGTGCTCAGGTGAATATGATGCTTGTGATGTTACTCTAAGTGTATATCCACACCGGGCAAGCTTGAAAAATATGCCTGACCACGATGGGAATCGAACCTACAACCTTTGTAATACTAACACAATGCTCTGCCAACTGAGCTACGCGGTCTGGTCGGTTCGAAGGAACTAGATTCTGTGCCGAAATATCACATACTCGAACTGACCAGACCGCGTAGCTCAGTTGGCAGAGCATTGGGCTAGTATTCCAGAGGTCGTAGGTTCGATTCCCACCGTGGTCAGGCATATTTTTCAAGCTTGTCCGGTGTGGATACACACTCAGAGTAACATCACAAACATCATTATTCATTTCTTATAGAAATTGATTATTTTCACAGTCAAAGAAAACCAAAATATTTGCATAGCGGGACAAAATCGTCGGGTTGGCTACGCTACTGAACAGAGCCGTCGGAGGGGGTGTTCAATACTTTGAAATTATATACGCCAACGCCTTTTAAGCTGGGAGAGCTGGGTTCAATTCTTGGTCGGACCTCTACTCAAGATCTTGAAATAATTGAGGAGAAAGTGCTACCTTCAATTGACATCAGTAAAAGACAATATAGCCTTGCGAAGTTTGCATATTTTCAGTATGTTTGTATTACGTGCGGAAATTGCTACCATTTTTGAGCTGAAAATGGTAACAATTTCCGCACGTAATACAAATATACTGAAAATGAGTAAACTTCGCAAGGCTATATTTTCTGTGTTTTACAACATTTCGCCACCAAATTTTGCAATTTTACTAATTTCATTATGTTCTTTTTAACTGTTGTGTTTGATTCCCTTGTCTTCACTTAGATTAAAATTTAGTCTAACATGCAAGTTGTCCAATGGTTAGACTTTTGCGTCTTCTCAAATAAGGACGTTAAAATCGTAGGTATCTCGGATCCCCTATCTATTGCCTGTTGGGAAATCCGCTCACCATTGAATGAGAAACTGAATAAACAATACCTGTTCTATATAGGCCTGCAATACTTATAACCACCAGAGGTTTTTCAATGCGGCTCAACATGTCACGTGCACGGGGATTAACTACAAGCTTCCCATTGCCAACGCTCTGAATGAATGGCATTGGTTCCGTTGTGTAGATGTCATCGTTAGTGTCTAAATCACATCCCTCAGGAGAATACAAGGAATTTTTCTGATTGGTCGTCAAATTTTCGGCAGATGAAAACTTCGTAGATCTATCAAAATCCATCACTGGACTGTTTCGCATTGCCTACCAGTCAGTTTGATTGTAAGTTTAATCTTCTGATGATTTTTCCTAAAAAGAACACAATTTTCAATAAATACTATCATATTTCTCATAACGAACTTGTAATATAGCGCAATTTGTTTACTTCTCACGTGGTATAAGCGAAAACTATTCTAATTAGTATTATAATTGGTTAAATTAGTTAATTAATGTCGTAAACAAGCTGCTTCAGCTACACATGTACTGTGAAAGACGAATATTTTTTAAAAAGATGTCTTGCGCATAGAATAATACTGAATAAGTAAGATTATAAGTTATAACACATTAGTTCAGATTATATATTAGTTCACTATCTATATTTGATTTGTGATTCATATCAGAGTTGTGTAATTGGCTAATAAACATTACAATTTACAAAGTGTACCCACCTTTTAAAATGTTAATGCTACAAAGATATAATTCACGATAATTTCCAGATAAAAGCTTTAAAACAATCGGATTACTGCTCTTCCTTTACGCTCGGCTAACTGTCTGTATACTAACCATGAATCAAAGACCAAATATTGTGGACTTTGAACCGATATATGGGAAGGAACAATAAACGTCTGACGTCATTTGGGAAACGTGACACTGTGTGTGTAAACATCCAGTTTCATGGTCTCATCATGTATTCATGTGTGTGTGTTTCACAATATTATAAAAGCACCATCATGTAGTAGATGCTGGTCAAAGTTGCAGTTACCAGACTGGTGATTTCTTTTCATTCTATGCAGTATTGCAGTAGTCTTGCATTTGAAAGTATAGTATAAAATAAATAATATCGAGAGATGCAATTTGATATTTGTTTGCTTCTCTAGGAGTGTCAACAATCTGAAATTGACCACCATTATTTTGCTGTTCTGTATCGCTTACTTCAACACATCAATAAGGTAGCTCAGCTGAAGGTAGGGGGCCTGAAACCCAATGTATGTGGATTATAAAATCGTGCTACGTAGCGTCATGGTGTTGGTGTTGGTGTTTGTGAAATTCCTTAACAGTACTTAAGAGTGAAGTGTTTTTGTTGCTCAAGAACTATAATTGAAATTATCTGATTTACAAACCATGCTGTCTTGCACTACATTACAACAAGTTCGCTATGCCGAGCAATAAATGTTTTAAACGATAACATTACATCCTAATAGTATATATCATAATAAATCCTCTTACAAGTAACTAACTTTGAAGGATAATACAAGAAATTATTACACATACTGTCAAACTTTATCTCCAAATGCCTGCCACGTTTTACCACTAACAAATTACATCGAAAGTAATCAATAAACGCGAGTTTGTCTGCGAGAAATACGATCTCAAATCTGTTGTTGTCTCGTCCGCTTCGAGTTGTTTTAAAATGGAAATTTGATTCGCCAGAGATGAATTATTAATGACGAAATTATTTTGGGCTTTGTTTGGCAAATTTCTGACGTATGTGCATTTTTCCAAATCCGGAACGTCAAACCGTGCAAATAGTGAAAGTTGTTGTAACCTGTTTAATGCCTCTGTAAAAAAAGCAAAAAAATGCTTGTTGATTTTAAACAAATTGATTGAAAACCGTAAAAACGCACAAGTTGTAACAAATCTAATAGCAGACTTGTAGCAATGCTGTTCCAACAACTTGTCATCAGGATGTGTTCGCACTGCTTGTTCCCAGCTTGTTGACAACTTGCTAAAAGGTTGTTAAGCTCAACAAACTTGTTACAAGTTGTTCCAACAACTTGTTATCGTCCTGCAATTCAACAATTTGTCCACAAGTTGTGAGTGACAATCTTGTAGCAACTTGATGAAATACCAGCATTGTTACAACTTGTTGACAAGCTTGCTACAAGCCTGTTGCGAACACATCTTGTTGACAAGTTGCGAGATTTTTAAGTGGGTACATCGTATCAACAAGAAAGATATTTTATATTATATTATATTATATTATAGAGTGTTATACATCGTCTGCAAAATAATCCTGTTGTGGTTTACGGTTCACAGCTTCGCCTTCAATCCTGAGTTGTGAGTAACTCAAGTCTCCCTCACTCAAAGTTTTCAAGACTGGAGTAACATACGTCACTCCTCCATTTCGTTTTTCATTCCACTCCATCACCACCCGGGAATCGTGGAGTTTAACAGGGACAGGTAGGGATGTCGAGCGTGTACGTGGGATATGACTTCTGAAACTATCCTGAGACGAGATTCTTCTTAGCTGGGGAGCGCGGGTGAACCGTTGAGGGTGGCTCCCTTTCCTCGTATACAAAGGCTGCCTTTCCCCCGAGGCGTGTATATCGTCTAGCGGTCTCCTAAGTTCTCCTGCCCGCAATCTCTGCCGCTCGGTGTTACCCGCCCACGGCTGACCCAAAGGACGTGGGCAGAATGATGGAAGACGCTGGCGGTTTGAAAAAATATCAAAATCGTAGGACGGTCTAGCGTTAAGCTCGTTTGTGTAGGATTGTCTTGGGTTAACTTCGTTTATATACGAAACTCTCGCAGGGGGATAGATGTGTAGGCCAGAGCTAGCGCGGGGTTCTTCCTCACTGCGCGATCGAGTATGCAATGCATAATCAGCGCTCCAATATTCCGGCGACAATTGTAAACGTTTCCCTGTTAATGACAAGTCTGAATTGAAACCATGTTTATCTTTATCCAAACAGTTCTTCATTTTCCCTTCCGATACTGTTTTATATTGACAATGAACGACTCCATTCACACTTGGAGCTGTCGACATTCCATTTTGCGGAGTTGTCGAGCTCTGGCATCTTTCGTGTTGTTTCGGCGAGCCATTTCGTAGCTTGTTGGACTTCTCCGAGTTAGCAACGTAACTGAAAGACGACTCAACTGCCAAAGGCGGCCATTCGTCGTCAGTTTTTGAAGAAATATACTTAAGGTTTAGCCCAGTTGCAGAAGCTTTGCAAAGATTCATTCCATTCTCTTCCATTCTGTTGCGGTAGAAAATCTGTCGTATACACTTTCTAGTTTTCTCTTGCTGGAAAAATCAACACTTTTTCTACCACGGAAATGTTATAGAAACACAGCTACACGTCGTAAAAACCAATACCACATATACTGCTGTTGAAGATAAGTCGACTCTGGGTTGTGTTGGAATGTATATTATTACATTCGGTTTTAAATACATATAAAACAGGTGCAAACGTACCTGTCATAAAAGCGACCAAAAAACCACACGAAATGGCAAAAACAAAAATGCGGTTATTATTATTTTTGTTACTTTGTAACAATTTTGGAATATTTTTTTAAAACATGTACTCATAAGGCAAACGCTACCGTCACATTTTCATTTGCGACATAAGTTTGCTGTTGCAATAATTCCATCCAGTCAAATCCAGTGATTGGCATGTTCCATTGTCCTCTATTGTTCTTCATGCCGCTCGTTGCATTATAGTCTAGGCCCCTTAGATATAATGTTACAAATAAGTCACAATAATGAGTCACTGGATGGTATGGAGTACAGTGGAATTTTCAAAACAATGAAACATTCTGATCACTGGATGGCATGGAGAACAGTGAGATTTTCAAAAGAATGAAAAGACAAATGGAACATTCTGATCACTGGATGGCATGGAGAACAGTGGAATTTTCAAAACAATGAAAAGCAAACGGGACATTCCGATATTTAGAGTTTAACTCTTCAAAAAAAAATGTAGGCTTTTACATTAGCTAATGAGGTTGTTTTTTATACAACCTGAAAATATTTATAGACCACGAGTATTAATAATCCATGCTTGTGGTTAGCCCAAAATTAAAAACTATACGAAACAGCGGTCTGACATGAAAATACTTCCTATTAAAAACTACATGGAACTGCTGTCTCATGGCATGGAAATACTTCCTCTTAAGAAGTATTTATTTGAATTTTAAATCTGATATAAATCTGCTATATAATTCATAACGTCTTGTCCATAAAGGCACCAAATACCACACCGTAAACAGTCTAGCATGTATGTGTACCTTTCGAAAACTTCAATTCATATAGTCCCTCATTATGAAAACAATAGACAATTCCCCATTATAGACAAATTTTAAAACTAGGCAAGGAGATGCAAATAAATCACCACAGCTAGAAAGAGCATACTAACATGAGTAAAATTGCAAAGTTTGGTTGCGAAATGTTGTAAAATGCGGAAACCATAGCCTTGCAAAGTTTGCAAATTTTGTATACTTTTGTATTGCGTGCAGAAATTGCTACCATTTTCGGCCCAAATGTGGTAACAATTTCCGCACGCAATACAAAAGTATACAAAAGTTGCAAACTTTGCAAGGCTATATTTTCTGCATTTTACAACATTTCGCAACCAAACCTGGCAATTTTACTCATTTCAGTATGCTCTATCTAGCTGTGGTGATTTATTTGCATCTCCTTGCCCAGTTTTAAAATTAGTCTATACTAGGAATTGCATGTCTATTCATATTTCCCATCCTGTACTGTATAGGTCGGTTTCAATAAGCACTATATAAGACAGCTGTGGTTTGAGAAGGATACAGCGACCTGAAAAATACAAGCAGGAAATACAAACCGTCTTGTTATCGTCGTTAGCAACACTAGCACCGAGTGTTCACTAAGCAGTATCGTGCAGCAGATGGTGGTTAACCTGCAGTTAACAGAGTGAGAAAATAATGTTCATTCTTTTCATTATATGTAATATAGTTTCATTTCCTTCCTTGCTGCTGTCATAGTTTCAACACTCTGCTGCTCTACAGTGCTCACCGACACCGACCAATACAAAGGCACCAAATACCATACCGTATATTACGTCTATCGGATGGTTACCTTCAGAAAACTGTAATTTGTATTTCCTGAATTACCAAAAATTCATACCACTCATGCACTCATACATCGAGGCAAATCCTGAAGAACACCAGTTTGTTCTGCCAAATTCCGCACGATACATTTCTTGAAAATACACACTTCACTACATTTCCAGGAAATTACAGACCCACTTCACCACACCACTCGTACAGAAAATTATGAGAAATCCAAACCAATACGTTCCCTCGTGTCCTCCTCGTCAGACGAAAGTTCACTCGAATCATCTTGGTCGTCGTCAAAAGGTCGAGGCAATATTTTATTTTCTTGTTTTGTCCTCGAGGTTGGAACTCCTAAATATATAAAAACACGTCATTCAAAGAATAGTTTTTGTTATAATATAGTATTTGTAAATTCTGAACGCTGATTGGCTAAGAGCCGTGTTGATATAACTCAATGTCAACACGGAAACGTCGGAAAATTTCTTTCTTTATATTTCTTTGTGCTATATTATAAAAAAAATATAAAACAATTTTTCCGTATTCATATACAGTTATATCAACACTCGTGGAATTGGGAAAACTCGAAATTGTGTGAAAACCCCCCGCCCCTTCGGGCGTCGTGTTTCCACACAATTTGTCGTTTTCCCAACTTCCACTCGTGTTGATATAACTGTACTGTATATCAACACGGACAATATTTTATATTTGTTAATTGCTAACTTTTAGAGTGCAAATGACAGAGTGGTTAACACATGATATCATCTCTGTGAGCCCAGGCGTAGAAAATATATTTATTTTCCTGGCAGCAAAATTCAAAAATGAAAATTTCCTGTGTAAGTCAAAACGTCCTGCATATGTAGATTTCAGAGAACGTATCGTGCTTCACAACGGCACAAGAGATCTCGACTTGAAAAGTTGTTGACATACTTGGCTGTTTTATTTCTCTCTCTTCGTCTGATCCGGAGTTTGTATCCCATCTATCAAAGTCGACACTGAGAAACGGAGGCTACAACGAACAATGTAAGTTGATAAATGTGCTAACAATGTCAATCATTACTTCACATACGTGACTTTACGAAGTTTGTTTACAAAAGATGTTTCTACCTTCTCTGTGGTTGATAGAAGTCTTTGCCAAGTCGCCGGCTGGGTTTTCTTTAAATTTACCAACACTTCAGAACCTCGCAAATGTACTTTACTTTCCTAAAAATAATATTTCAATCATGCTATTATACTTTTTGCTCATATTATATCAATCGATCGCTCGATGGATCAATCAAGCATCAAAGAATGGCAGAAATACTTAAGTTTAACATTGATCCTACCTTGGGAATAACATCAGCGAACAAAGCCAAATTTAGTTCGTACAATTTTTCCATGTGTTTCGTCCTGTAGTAAAAGACACAAATGAAATAAACACCAAGGCCATTTATATACGAGCGAAAATAAGCCGTGACTCAAATAAACAGCGAACAACTCGTATAAAAAGTCAATTTGCAATAAGCCACGGCTTATTTTACTTATTTTAGCCACGGCATGCGAACAAATTGACATCTTGTACGAGTTGTTCGCGATTTATTTAAGCCGTGGCTTATTTTCGCTCGTATAAAAATGAATCTAATCGCCAAATCATAAATAAAACTGCATACTCGTATATCAAGGATTTACCTGAAATAAAACGTTTTGTCAGTGATATTGCTGATCTTCTCTTGAACACCTCTCAGCTTGATAGACAGCGAGACAAAACGTTTCGTTTGAGACCACATCGTCATTGGATGTACTGTAGGTCTACCTCTGGAGAAATATCAGTTATCCAAAGTTACACAAAAATTTATTGACAAGCACTCTATCAGTTCTTAACTGTTCTTCCTCAAAGTCCAGAAAAGTCACCCCAGTGCTACACTAAATACACTGCACGAACCAATAAGGGATGACCTATACTGGACCTCTAGGAAGAACAGTTTAGAACTGATAGAGCTATCCAGTATAAATAAAGTTAGTTTAGTTTAGGTTTCCTCCTGTAGTAACACTGGATCAATAAGAGATGATCCTTACTGGACCTCTAGGAAGAACAGTTTAGAACTGATAGAGCTATCCAGTATACATAAAGTTAGTTTAGTTTAGGTTTCCTCCTGTAGTAACACTGAATCAATGAGAGATGATCCTTACTGGACCTCTAGGGAGAACAGTTCAGAACTGATAGAGCTATCCAGTATAAATAAAGTTAGTTTAGTTTAGGTTTCCTCCTGCAGTAATGGAAATATCTCACGAATACTTACAAGTCCATAGTATCTTCCAACAACGGTAAATCACCATCAGAGTCTGCACCGCCATTAACCATCTTGTCATTCTCTTGTGTCTTTCTTCTCTTAGTAACAGCAATTGGCTTGCATCTGATTGGTTCTTGCAGTGGTGACGTAATCGACGAAGCTTCAATGAGAGGAACGTCGGGCGCTCTCCCCAGTAGCCTCTGAATGAGGTCCATGCACGTTCTTCGTATATCAAACGGCAACTGGGTTTGGACATTCGACAATCTACACAGCGTTAGAAAATTATGCTTCAGTTTTAAATTATCCTTGGCAGAACACTTAACACTCAGCATAGCAGACGATGTCGTCCAGTCACGAGAATATTTCATTGTCTTTCCATTGTTTTGAAAATCCCATTGTTCTCAATGCCATCCAGTTATGATCCAGTGATAGAATATTCCATTGTATTTTCATTGTTTTGAAAATCTCACTGTTCTCCATGCCATCCAGTCATGATCCAGTGATCAGAATGTTCCATTGTATTTTCATTGTTTTGAAAATCCCACTGTTCTCCATGTCATCCAGTCATGATCCAGTGATCAGAATGTTCCATTGTCTTTTCATTGTTTTGAAAATCCCACTGTTCTCCATGATGCCATCCAGTCATGATCCAGTGATCAGAATGTTCCATTGTCTTTTCATTGTTTTGAAAATCTCACTGTTCTCCATGCCATCCAGTCATGATCCAGTGATCAGAATGTTCCATTGTCTTTTCATTGTTTTAAAAATCTCACTGTTCTCCATGCCATCCAGTCATGATCCAGTGATCAGAATGTTCCATTGTCTTTTCATTGTTTTAAAAATCTCACTGTTCTCCATGCCATCCAGTCATGATTCAGTGATCAGAATGTTCCATTGTCTTTTCATTGTTTTAAAAATCTCGCTGTTCTCCATGTCATCCAGTCATGATCCAGTGGTCAGAATGTTCCATTGTCTTTCATTGTTTTGAAAATCCCACTGTTCTCCATGCCATCAGCCACTCATTATTTGACATATTTGTGACATTATGCAAATGTACAGTAAACGCACAGGGTGAACACAACATACCTTCTCATAAGGTCAATGATTCCCAAACGACACATGATTTCCCGATTGTCGTCATTATAACTAGACAAGGTCTTCAGTGAGCGAACTGCGTTTTGCAAAATCTACATGAAATAAAATCTTCCATTACACTAAGTTACAGGGTGTGTATTGCGTGTACCTGGAGCACTGAGCAGGTGTTATTAAGAACTTACTTTTTCGTCTTGGTTTGTCCTGATCAAGTTGCAAATTTTTTCGATACCACCTTGCTGCCCGATTAACTGTTTATTACTAGAGAACAAATATTGAGATTATTGAAGTTTTTAATCTCGGTTTTTAACTGTTCTTCCCAGAGGTCCATTAAGGGTAATTTGGTCCAGTGTTACAACAGGACGAAACCTAACCTAAACGGCTAAACCATATTTATACTTGACACCTCTATCAGTTTTAAACTGTTCTTCCTAAAGGCATATTAAGAGCAATGGCTTATTGATTCAGTGTTACTAGAACGTCTTATTTTACCTTGCATTATAAGCCAACAGCGATATTGCCCAAATGGTATTTTCAAGCACAGAATTACTTTGACTCGTTTCAAGAAGTTTGAATAATGTTGATAAACCTCCAGCTTCTCTGACGGCGCCACAGTTGCTATGGAAACGATGGAAGATGTGAAATAATGTGAAGATAGGGGGTGTTAATCATCTTTCCTTGCAATGGAGAGCGGAATAGCAAGAGACATAATTTAGATGTGACCTACTCCAAGGCTTACTAGGACTTCTGGCCCCACACTACACACGTCGTAAAAACGCAGAGCAGCGCGCTGACCGTATCTGCCACACATGCTCTATACAAAATACGTGACGTGGCCTTACTTGTTATTGTCTGAACAAAGAGAGACAAGTGCCCAGCAAACATTCTCTTGAACCTAACAACAGTAATCACAAAGAATAACGATACAAACTTGCGAGAAAATAACGACTTATTTAATCTTTCCAGCTACGTTTGGGAATTTTTCATAACCAGGGGGCATATACGATGTACAGACCTTTTCCTGATCAGAGCTGGCCAAAAGATCACACAACTTCTTTATTCCACCAATTTGTCGGGTAGCGTCGCGATTGCTGTTGGAAAAGAATAGAATAGTGAAATGAACACATTAAAGAGAGCAGTACAATTTCCAGATCTGCAAACAAGATGCAACAAGGTTGTTGTGAAGCCGATATCAGGATGTGTTCGCACTGCTTGTTCCCAGTTGTTGTGACAAGTCTGGAACAAGTTGTTATCATCTTGTTACAAGGTTGATGACGGTAACAGACTTGCTACAAGTTGTTCCAACAAGACTAATACAGGCTGTTCGTAACAAGTTGCTACGAGCTTGTTGTCGTCAACTTGTTAACAACTTGTTACGTGCAGACGATATCAGACTTGTTGGAACAACTTGTTGCGAGTCTGTTGGCCTCATCAACCTTGTTACAAGATGATAACAACTTGTTCCAGACTTGTCAACAACTGGGAACAAGCAGTACGAACACATCTTGTTGACAAGTGTAGAGAAGCGCCTTTTAGTGTATGTGTTTAAGCGCCTTTTAGTGTATGTGTCTTAGCGCCTTTTAGTGTATGTGTTTTTAGAGGAGAGAACCGCATGGAAGTGAGATATTGTAGAGTTAAGGTGAAATTGTGAGATGTATTTCGTGGAGATTAATCGTTGTTGAGTATTGTAATTAAAGAAATAATTAAAGAGTTTTGGTATTATCTTAGTCCAGTAGTGCTTCGTGACACAAGCTGTGATATTTTTACGCGTATGGATGCCAAATTTTCAAAGTCTCACCTTTCACTCGTTGCAAGAATCTTGACAGTCCATGCAGCGTGTTCTTGGAGCTTCGCATTTTTTGCCTGACAGATAAAACAGAAGAAATACTCATCAAATAGCTGCGTCTCTTAACCTACTCGAAAGTTTCAGATCAATATTACCTTGCTGAGTAGATCACACAATACTGATAAACCACCTTCACGTCGGATCTCTTCACAATTACTAGAAATATAAAAGAATTCTCGTAAATACACATCACAATTTCTAGAATGGTGAAAAATATCTAAAATTATTATATACATACAAGTCGTTTTGTGTGGCCAAAAACGCCAATGTTATCACAATATATTCTTGAACCGCTTCATTCTTGCTTACACCAAGTAACCGACATATACAGCGAACACCACCGCTTTCCCGAATATCGTCTTTTCTCCTGCGAAAATATAATAAACTTTTTAAGAGGTCGCTCTCACTAAACTAATTTTATGTATACTTGTATCACAATTCTGAACTGTTCTCCCTAGAGGTCCAGTAAGGATCATCTCTTAATGATCTTAATGATCCAGTGTTACTACAGGAGGAAACCTAAACTAAACTATCTTTATTTATACTGGATAGCTCTATCAGTTCTAAACTGTTCTTCCTAGAGGTCCAGTAAGGATCATCTCTTATTGATTCAGCGTTACAACAGGAGGAAACCTGAACTAAACTAACTTTATTTATACTGGATAGCTCTATCAGTTCTAAACTGTTCTCCCTAGAGGTCCAGTAAGAATCATATCTTATTGATCCAGTGTTACTACAGGAGCAAACCTAAACTAAACTAACTTTATTTATACTGGATAACTCTATCAGTTCTAAACTGTTCTCCCTAAAGGTCCAGTAAGGATCATCTCTTATTGATCCAGTGTTACTACAGGAGGAAACCTAAACTAAACTAACTTTATTTATACTGGATAGCTCTATCAGTTCTAAACTGTTCTCCCTAGAGGTCCAGTAAGAATCATCTCTTATTGATCCAGTGTTACTATAGGAGGAAACCTAAACTAAACTAACTTTATTTATACTGGATAGCTCTATCAGTGCTTTTACGGGGCCAGTGACAGATATCTCATATTGATTCATATAAAGAAATTAAATATAAACAAAACAAAATAAACTGTATGCATACTTCATGTTTTCCGAAACGATATTCTTTATTTCCTGAGCATAACGTAGTTTCGTATTTGGATCCTAAAATAAAATGTATGTGTTCGATAGGGTCAGCTTTATTTGTCACGCGTATTTGATTTACTTAATCCTCCACATTCATACTTCGGGGGTGAAGTTTATCAGGTATTTGAATAGCTGAACAAACCTGAGCTCTGTCAAGCTGCAAACATAATGCTGGAATTTCTTTGTATGGCTCCTGAATAAAAGTCGACTGTTTAATTCAAAGGAAGACACAATAATTGAATACACCAAAGTAAGTCAACGAACCTTTGGGTGTCCTGTCGTGTTTGAATCAAAAGCTTCGGGAAACAAAGTCTGAAAAGTTTAAAACGTCAAAAAATCAAGGTGTGTCGATATTATTCAAACCGACTGCACGTCGGATCTCTTCACAATTACTAGAAATATAAAAAATGTTCTAAAAATTGCATTCACCTTGTGATATTCTAGGGTCGCCTGCGCATGTCCAGCAATCACCAGCTCATGGTTCACGAGGACATCACGTTCTGTCGACGTGTCACACAACTCAATCCCATACCTGCACGTTCCTGCTAACATTGCAGCGCTTTTTGATTTCCCCTGCAAATATAACAACGAGATTTATCTTCTGTAATAACACAGGACCAATAAGAGATGGTCCTCTAAAGAGAACAGTTTAGAACTGACAGAGCTATCCAGTATAAATAAAGTTCAGTGTGGGTCATCACCTTCGCGTACAGCATTTTATCGTCCACCAAACTCCACAAACCCTCAGCGTCATCTTCTGTCCACTCAGTACCTGGAAATAAAGATAATGACGAGAGCGTGACTTTACCCTTGCAGTTACAACGGCAAAAAACAATGCACTAGGGTTGTAAAAACTGTAAACAAGTAAGCTAACGAGGGGCGGGACAAATGAAAACTGTGTTTTAAACGCGAGGAAATGCTACTCGTCACGTGTAGATAAACAATACCTAAATCACAATTATTGTAAGAAAGGACAGAATAAATAACTCAGTGGACTTTAACGATTAAACATCTTCTTAAACATACCAACAGGGCTTATGTTGACCAGACTGCACTCAATTGCCTGAAAGGGTAACTAAATAAAGGAGATCATATAAGTTTATGTGAGAATTAGGATACTCTGATGATGGAAAAGGTGTGTGCCAGCATATAGGTGACAATAACACCAGAATACTGCGGATTGCTTTTCATGTAGCTGTATATCCTTGACGCTGTTTGTTATATAGCGTCTCAACAACGCTAACCTGAGAATCCTAATGAATCTCACCTCCAAATATTCCGGACGCATTGGAGCAATTCTATCCTGTGTTATCCACTCTCGATCCCCATAGTCCACGAAAAATACATCATATTCCTTCTCTGGCCGGATGCTGAGTATTTTTGCTCGATACCATCTGAAGAAATACGTTTAAAATTTCAGAATTTAGGTTTCCTCCTGTAGTAACACTGGATCAATAAGAGATGATCCTTACTGGACCTCTAGGAAGAACAGTTTAGAACTGATAGAGCTATCCAGTATAAATAAAGTTAGTTTAGTTTATGTTTCCTCCTGTAGTAACACTGGATCAATAAGAGATGATCCTTACTGGACCTCTAGGAAGAACAGTTTAAAACTGATAGAGCTATCCAGTATAAATAAAGTTAGTTTAGTTTAGGTTTCCTCCTGCAGGAACACTGGATCAATACGAGATGATCTTACTGGACCTCTAGGAAGAACAGTTTAGAACTGATAGAGCTATCCAGTATAAATAAAGTTAGTTTAGTTTAGGTTTCCTCCTGTAGTAACACTGGATCAATAAGAGATGATCCTTACTGGACCTCTAGGAAGAACAGTTTAGAACTGATAGAGCTATCCAGTATAAATAAAGTTAGTTTAGTTTAGGTTTCCTCCTGCAGTAACACTGGATCAATAAGAGATGATCCTTACTGTACCTCTAGGAAGAACAGTTTAGAACTGATAGAGCTATCCAGTATAAATAAAATTAGTTTAGTTTAGGTTTCCTCCTGTAGTAACACTGGATCAATAAGAGATGATTCTTACTGGACCTCTAGGAAGAACAGTTTAGAACTAATAGAGCTATCCAGTATAAACACAGTTACTTTTAAACACAATTAATCACCTTTCGTCATCTGTACATTTTGCCAGACACAGGGAACCAATACTACATTCTTCGTGACTCTCTGTTGATTGTGTTTCAATATCCCCGGTGATTTGGTCCACAAGATCTTCAACACTAGAGATTAAACAGAAATACAAGTGTTCACACGACTAGATACAAGACTACTTGTGCATATAATGCGCATTATTGTCTCACTCGGATAAATACAGGTTGATCACCATCTGCTGCACGATGTAATGATTGTAGACCCATTCGAAAGATAGATGTCATTCTTTTTTCTCCTGAAATTATTTTCAACCAAGGCAATCACTGCAGCCTTGTAGTATACCTCAAGACTAACAGTACAAGTTCCACTATAATCGCTAATTCCAAAAGCAGAAAATGTATGCTCGAGCAGATTTTTTAGGGTGGTGCTAGATTTCTCTACGGGGAAGCTAGGCATCACTAGGTGGGATGCCCCCCCCCCCCGCCCGCACCTCCGTGGTAGATCCACACCTGGTCACGTGTTCAACCTACCTATTGATATTGTCGTACAGTCTCACGTACAGCAGTTCTGGATTATGTATTGATGAAACTTTAACCACTTCATCGACTTGTTCACGAAGAGTGCAAGTTTCTATCTGTCCAGAGTCTGATGATCTGGAATAACATTACATCGAGTGAAAATACGCTCTCTACTGTAGAGTCTAGGGAGAATACTTTGGAACTGATAGAGCTATCTAACTATCCAATATAAATCAAGTTAGTGGATAGCCTGCGAACAGGCTCTCAAGCTGAATTGAGAGCCTGCATTGATGACTAATGAATTTGAATATCTGCGTCTCAAATCGTGACGCGAAATTCTCATTGGTCAGATGCTATAATTTATATGTTTCCGCTGAGCTCTATATATGTCAACTGCTGAAGCACTATGCATAAAAAAAACACATTAACTGATCAAATTGGTCTTGGCCATCTTATCTCAAAACACAAAATGTTCTGTTTTGAGAAAACAGTATTTAAAACATTTGAACTTTTGCTTGAATATCTTATATTTCGAAAAACAGTATAAACTGTACGGTCTAAATTTAGTTTGCACGAAACTTGTAAACAACACCATATAAGGATAGACATTCCATATTTGGAAAAACGAACGTTACGGGGCAGATATTCAAATTCATTAGTTATCGATGTAGGCTCTCAATTCAGCTTGAGAGCCTGTTCGCAGGCTAGTTAGTGGAGTTTGGTACAAACCTGTCAACGTTTTCACGACCAGTGATATCTTTCAGTCGGACGAACGACGTAAAATGTTTGGTTAGATTTTCAACATGCTACAACAAAACAGCGACTTGTGAAACACAAGGATTTCAGCGGTTTGGGTTTTAAGAAATTATTCAAAAAGACTTCGAGGAAAGAGTTTATGTAAATCAGGAGAATTTTGTATAATGTGGATAAACACCTCATTAAACAATGATTTCTTTTGAATTTTCTTCATGAATTATTAATAAATTTTACAAATAACATAATGAAGTGTGTACCTCTTGATTAGGCACAGCCAGACCTTGCTTCAACATATCAAGGCGAACATTAAATATATTCGTCGTCACATTAATTTCTGTCAAGTGTTCTTTTGCAACGAGCGGATCAAGCCAGATTGTATTCCTGAGACTGAATCAACAAATCATTTGATTAAAGCCATTACACTATCAAAGTTTCTGTGATCACAGTAGGAATTTTGCTTATTTTTGAAGGATTTGTAAGAAATTTTTGAGGAAACAGACTCGGCATTTAACATTAAGCCAGTTCCTTGAAACATTTCTTTATAAATCCTTCAAAACTTAAAATTTACCTATGCAAAATTCCTACTGTTATCACAGAAACTTTGATAGTGTCAGCCAGGCTTAAGAATTTAATTTTTTTATAAAATGGACGTAAGCAACTCATTGTTTAAGATACATAACAAAACTGTTTTACCCCATTAGAACTCTTCCTTCTAGCTCTTGTCCTTCAATGTGTTGCACAACATATCTAACCGCCTGAAAAATATCATTTATAAATGTTTTATAATTTCTATTTAGTTGCTCACTCATTGGTGAGCGGATTTCCCAATTGATAGGGGATCCGAGGTACCTACGATTTTAACGTCCTTATCCGAGAAGACGCGAAAGTCTAACCATTTCCTGATGTCAATGTAAAGGTAGCTCTTTCTCCTCAATTATTTTAAGAGCTTGAGTAGAGGTCCGATCAAGGATTAAACCCAGCTCTCCTAGCTTGAAAGGCAAGCGTGGTGACCCACGACACCACAAGAGCTGGTTTGTGTGAATTGTACTCTATGTTTAAATAGTGAGACGACTGAAACATCTTTTAAAAATATGTATCTACCTTATTCGTCCAGTTCTTGTCATTATCCAAAGGTTTTATTCTGCACACGTACGCCTCGACTGCCTTTAAAATAACAAAAGAAATTGTAATGTGTTGGTGCAGGTACTTCAGTCAGTGGATGTTTCTTTCATATCTGTGGCTAGAGTTCAATGGACATATTCCCTAATGAACCAAATTTTAATCTAGACAAGTCTAGACTTGAAAGAGCATTACAAAATTAGTAATATTCCGAAGTTTCGTTGCGAAATGTTGTAAAATGCGGATAATATAGCCTTGCGAAGTTTGCCGTTTTTCAGTCATTTGTGAATGAAAAAAGGTATCTGAAAAAAGGTATCAATTTCCCATGCGTAATACAAAATGACTGAAAAACGGCAAACTTCGCAGGGCTATATTATCCGCATTTTACAACATTTCACAACGAAACGTCGGAATATTACTAATTTTGTGATGCTCTTGCAAGCTGTGGTGAAATTTTTGTCTAGACTTGTCTAGATCAAAATTTTGTTCATTAGGGAATAGGTCCATTCCTGCAACATGCAGTTGTCTCATTAAGATTTCACCTCAGTCACATGTGAGAAGAATGCTTCCAGTTTGACTCTACCAAACACCACAGGTTTTCCTAGTTAATAACAAATCGTTACTCACTTGATACGGAATGTCAACGAACTGTGGAGCAATTTCAAAGAGATTGTAAGATGGGACAACTTCGTAAAAACCACGGTCGATAAAATAAACCTGTACTTCCAGGGCTCTGTTAGTTTCGGGATCTTTTCGAACTACTTGAATAATTTTTGCTCTGAATAAAAAAGAGAGAGTTGTTATTGCAAAAGGAGTGATTGCACAATTTCTCCTGCGAGACCACAAGTCTTCTCCGGGTATTCCGGTTTTTCAGAATTGCTGGACCTCTAGGAAGAACAGTTAGTTTAGTTTAGTTTAGTTTAGTTTAGTTTAGTTTAGTTTAGGTTTTCTTCTGTGGTAACACTGGATCAATAAGAGACGATCCTTACTGGACCTCTAGGAAGAACAGTTTAGAACTGATAAAGCTATCCAGTATAAATAAAGTTAGTTTAGTTTAGGTTTCCTCCTGTAGTAACACTGGATCAATAAGAGATGATTCTTACTGGACCTCTAGGAAGAACAGTTTAGAACTGATAGAACTATCCAGTATAAATAAAGTTAGTTTAGTTTAGGTTTCCTCCTGTAGTAACACTGGATCAATAAGAAATTATCTTTACTGGACCTCTACCCAGCTATCCAGTATCAATAACGTTTAGTTTAGGTTTAGCCGGGGGATTAATCATTCTCGGCTGATATTTCCTACCTATAATACGATCCTTCACTCTCAACAACACAAAGCTTCTGAAGATGAATTCTCGAACAAACATGGCGGTTATCACGTGACGTGTACAGGCTGTTCAGATCAAGAGCTAACTGGAGGAATGTTGCTCCGCTGTAATAGTTAGAACTGTTCATTTCCTGCTGGTCGCTCTGATGTTCCAGTATTCGCACAAAGTAACGAGACGCATCCAACACTGCCAAGATTAACACCTAGACAAAACTTGGAGAATAAATATCTCTGTGCTCATTGCTTGGCTTTTACTAAAAGGCTATCAAAGTTTCTGTGATCACAAAGTTTTTAAGGATTTGTAAGAAGCATTTGAGGGGACTAAGTTGGTTCTAAGTGTAAAGCAGCCTTAAAGGTTCACTTGTGTTTTACTTCAGTTGGTTTTAGATCGAATTCGAAACTCTTGCTCCAGAAGACTACCCTCAAAACATTATCGACTCTTGGTGATCGTTCGTTTGGATGTGCAGCGCCAAACTTGTGGGAATGATTATCTTCACGCATTCAACAAGCTGATTCCATTGGAAGTTTTAAAAAACTCTTAAAGACACACTTATTTAGGAAAGCTTATTATAATATTTAATAACAAAATAGTGTGATTTTATCAATATTTTTTATATGCTGTATCTTTTATGAAACTAATAGTATAGTCTGTACTGATTATGAATGAATAGTCTGGATCGTCTTAACTATCTCTTATCTTTCATGCAAATATTTAGATTTTGTTTTTATATTATTGTTCTGCGCATGTGAGCATATTTGAATGGAATTTGCGCACTACAAATTACATTATTATTATTATTAATTATTATTTTTGAAAGCCACCAACAGCAATAATATACCGCATACCTTAACAATGCCAGACTTAGGTAATAGAACAGACACGTCAACTTCAGGGAAGACAGTATGACGGCTTTTACACTGGAGTAAATCCCTGGAAAATTCAAAATACACATAAGTTTCACTGCTAAAATGTCTCCATTCCGTAACATAGGTCCGGTTACATGAGCACGAAGTAGGATTAAGACGTAAACCGAAATTGTACACAAGACCAGGGCGAAAACATTTTTGGTTTCTTCTGTGTATTTCTAAAATGCAACCATAATCAATGTTGTTATTTCAACGTTCGAAATTCAGACCGATCAGAAAGTATCATTTGTCTCTATTCATCCCGGCCAGGAGATAGTCTCGCTGACGGAATGACTCTAGACCGTTTGGGGCAATTTCTTAACATGGCCTCAAGCAAACTCTACGACAAACGTCGTCTCGCATCGAGTTCGTGTCATGCCAGTTTCATATTAAACGATGCCGTACTTGCACTGTCCAAATGCTTTCAAATGAGTGCACAAGTCGTCATTCTTCCTTTTCTCTTCTTTCTCCTAACAAAACACAAAGAATGATCGTCAATATGCAATCACTAGTAAGGTACCTGAAATAGATGGTAGGTAATTCACTAAGCAGTATCGTGCAGCAGTTATCAGAGTGAGAAAATAATGTTCATTCTTCTCATTGTATGTAGCAGTCTTGTATTTGGAGGAAAGTAAATAGAACTGAGGCATGCAGTTTCATTTTCTTGTTCTACATAACTTCAACATTTGTGAAGTTGACGACCACCTGTTGCTCTTTATAACGCGAACCTGGACGCAACAAAATATAACCTAAACAGTGACATCATTAACCTGGTAAGCGAATTCGCAAACTTTCTCAAGTGTGGGTGGAACAACACCGCCAGATCGTAACGCCAATTCTTTAATACTGCGGGCGCAAGCTCTGCTGTGCTCTGTTCCAATAGTCAGCGACAGACATTCTTTCTCCTAAAGAGGAAAAATAAAGGGTAGTTTGAGAAAATTGTTTTTAAAAGTTTGCAAGTCGAGATTATTGACGTTTATTACAATGAGCGGCCCCATACATTCTCTGAAATCTACATGTTCTGTAGACAAGACAAGACTTTATTGTACCTTTCCTTTTTTTACAATTCAAAATATTAATTAAGGCAGACAGATCAAAAATTTGATCTGCACAGGAAATTCTTATTTTTGCACTTTGCTACCAGGAAGAGAAATGTATATATTTAGGTCTGACAATAGTGCCCTTCATTGTTTTGAAAATCCTACTATGCAAAGGCTTTGCAAATTCTAAACTTTCATGTTTTAATTTGCGAATGTTCACTCTCAGCTGCCAACAACGGTAGAAAGCTGCGCCAGATTACCTTGGTAGTAGGGTATGACGCGGCCATACAGAACATACGTTTTCCAAACAACGTTTTGGTCGGTGCAGAGTCATAATGTATAACACATGTCGCAGTTCTGATGTTGCACTTGTCCATCACGCCATCTGTCATAACTGCAATACAAATTATATGCACATTGAAAACACTAAAATATTTCAGTTTTGTATTGAGATCTTATTAACTTCACCAGAAGTTCTGTTTGTTTGTCTGTCTGTCTGTCTGTCTGTCTGTCTGTCTGTCTGTCTGTCTGTCTGTCTGTCTGTCTGTCTGTCTGTCTGTCTGTCTGTCTGTCTGTCTGTCTGTCTGTCTGTCTGTCTGTCTGTCTGTCTGTCTGTCTGTCTGTCTGTCTGTCTGTCTGTCTGTCTGTCTGTCTGTCTGTCTGTTTGTTTGTTTGTTTGTTTGTTTGTTTGTTTGTTTGTTTGTTTGTTTGTTTGTTTGTTTGTTTGAGTGCCTGTCAGCAGGGTAACTCAAAGATATTGAACAACTTTAACTAAAATGTTTTGTAGAGTTAATGGCGGTACGCCAAGAACAAATTGAACAAATTGAACTAATCAATTTAGATGAAAATTGTATCGCTTTTCCGGGCTGAGAATAATTGAATGCGTAATTGGCGTAATTAACGCTTGTATGCTTTATGCATGAATACGTGAGCTTTCGCTGGCGGTGGAATGCAGTCTCTCAGCGTCATCTGGTCTAGGAAAATGTTATAATCTTACCCAGAATAAGGAAAGAATCCGAGCTGTGTGGCGTGTTCCACTGTCGACGGACTTCAACCAGCTGTTCTGGCCAGAGGAATTCATGCGCGAGCAAGATGGTGAAGCTGCAATACTCCAGCATTTGTGCGATACGTTCAGCATCCTTGGCAGTCGAGGCGAAGATGATTATTTCACGGTCGTTGTTTAGCGTATATTTATCCAACAAACCTGAAATGATATGGTATTCATTATGGTATGGTATTTTATTGGACACCTAACAATGGCTCTTACTAGACTTCTAGATAGACAGGCTCAATGATGAATGGATGATACATACTCAGTAGCTCCGACTCCTTCTTGCTCGATGACACGTAGTTTACAACTTGTCGCACTTTACAAAACATGGCCGCTTCAATTTGGTTGCCAATGAAAACCAATGGATTGTCTAAGTACACTTTCACAAGGGAACAAATCCCAGTGGTCCATTTGTTCCCTATAGCTATGATTTGTCTTGGAGCCAGGCGGTTAGGTTGCGACTTCAGAAGGGCTGAAAAAATACGAGAAACATGTTTAATAAGAAATGATCCTTACTGGACCTATAGAAATAACAGTTTAGAACTGATATACAGTATAAATAAAGTTAGTTTAGTTTAGGTTTCATCCTGTAGTAGCACTGGAACAATAAGAGATGATCCTTACTGGACCTCTAGGAAGAACAGTTTAGAACTGATAGAACTGTTCAGTATAAATAAAGTTAGTTTAGTTTAGGTTTCCTCCTGTAGTAACACTGGAACAATAAGAGATGATCCTTACTGGACCTCTAGGAAGAACAGTTTAGAACTGATAGAACTGTTCAGTATAAATAAAGTTAGTTTAGTTTAGGTTTCCTCCTGTAGTAACACTGGAACAATAAGAGATGATCCTTACTGGACCTCTAGGAAGAACAGTTTAGAACTGATAGAACTGTTCAGTATAAATAAAGTTAGTTTAGTTTAGATTTCCTCCTGTAGTAACACTGGAACAATAAGAGATGATCCTTACTGGACCTCTAGGAAGAACAGTTTAGAACTGATAGAACTGTTCAGTATAAATAAAGTTAGTTTAGTTTAGATTTCCTCCTGTAGTAACACTGGAGCAATAAGAGATGATCCTTACTGGACCTCTAGGAAGAACAGTTTAGAACTGATAGAGCTATCCAGTATAAATTAGTTTAGTTTAGGTTTCCTCCTGTAGTAACATTGGATAAATAAAAGATGATCCTCACTGGACCTCTAGGAAGAACAGTTTAAAACTGATAGAGCTATCCAGTACAAATAATTTAGTACTTGATACCCTACCGTAATATTCTCTCATCAATTCCTTGACAGACTCAGTCTGCTCTTCAGCGAGAATGTCGGCATCATCAAAGACAAGATGACACAATCTATTTAACCTCGTACACTTCTTTCTGAGCATGCGTAGTAAGCACGGCAGAGTGGCAATCAGGACTTCACAACCATTGATAAGACCAGGGATACACTCGTCCTCTGCACCGGCACCATACACAATCTGAACGCGAATGCTTCGGACGTTTTTCGTTACCTTTCGAAAGTGTTCGTAAACAGCCGTGGCTTTTCGCCATCCTTCACACAAGATCAAGGCAAGAGCCTAGAATAAAATGGCATTATCAATTTTTAATAACCATTAAGTTGTAATTCGTTATTGTTGAGTAATTCGCAACAAGTTGTTCCAACAAGTCTGATAGCGTCTGCACGTAACAAGTTGTTAACAAGTTGATGACAACAAGCTCGTAGCAACTTGTTACGAACAGCCTGTATTAGTCTTGTTGGAACAACTTGTAGCAAGTCTGTTACCGTCATCAACCTTGTAACAAGGTGATAACAACTTGTTCCAGACTTGTCACAACAACTGGGAACAAGCAGTGCGAACACGTCCTGATATCGGCTTCACAACAACCTTGTTACAACTTGTTTACGTGTGTAGTTTAAAAACAACTTACCCCATTTCCCAGCGGCAGTTCAGAATAAGATGCTGGTTCAGCTAAAAGCGTGATAATGGGCGCGAGGTAGGCCATCACGTTATCCGAACTCGATTCCGGTATACCAAACACATCACGACCGCGTATAATTGCTGGCCAAATGTTAGCCTGGAACGAGCTTGGTTTGATCACGCCCAGATCACGCAGGCCGCGCTGTACACCCTCAGGGAACGTTTTTGAGTCAATCTCTGTCATGCTGGGGGGCATGGATACGCCGTGACGAATGACGTCACTGGTCACATGACAAAGTTTTGCATTTGACATAGGTGATGAAGGGATTCGTGGGGACTTTGTAGGACTCCTTTGGATTGATGCGTTCTGAACAGGACTTGTGGGGATAATTGAATTAGGGGTGAGAGACACAGCATCGTGTTGTGTAGATGAAGAATCAGAGGACCGCACTTGATTATCATGGATATTCTGGGACGTTTGAGGACTGTCTTGGAGAAACCTAGTAGTATTTGTAGGGATTCCAGTAGCGGAGCTGGGATAGTTACTAGTAGGATGGGATTGAGTTTGATTCATATGGATATCCGAAGATATTTCACCTGTGGGCAAATGTTGTGAAGGATTACCAAGGTTACCCAAGGATTGATCCATACCAGTAGGGACACTTGGTGATGGTTGAGGAATAGTTGAGGTGCGACATTGTTGGCTTACAGGTACGTTTGGGTAGTTGGATGTACTGCTAGGGGTACCAGTGTACTGTAATTGTGTTGGTGAAAACTTTTGCTGTTGAACACGACTCTGAGGAACACTGGTTGATTGTGCATGACTGGTAGGTACATTAAAGGACTCAGGGCTATACTGCGACTGCCTTGGTGGATAATTTTGTACCTGATCTTGAGGGACACAGGTGGATTGCCCTTGACTGTTGGGTACATTTGGGTATTCCGGTGTACTTATTGGGTTATACCGTGTTTGCTTTGGTGGTAATTGCCAATTTTGCTGTTGTATTTCAGGGACATAATTTGATTTGCTCGAGGATACATTTTGTTGCTGAGCTTGATTAAAAGGGCCATTTGTGGATCGTGCTTGATTGTTAGGTTCGTTTGGGAATCCCCATGTATTTGATTGAAAATTGTGTGCTTGTTTTTGAGGAATATTTTGCTCCTTTATTGAAGGGATACCTTTGGATTGTACTTGATCAGTAGGTACATTTGGGTATTCAAAGGTATCATTTGAGCTATACTGTGTTTGTTTTGGTTGGAAATTTTGTTGTGTTCCACGTTGAGGAATAGTGGTGGATTGTTCTTGATTAGTAGGTGCATTTGGGTACTCAAATGTGTTGTAAGGGGTATACGGCGATTGTTGCTGTACTCTACTCTGAGGAACGGTAGTGGATTGTGCGTGGTGGCTGTTCGGTACATTTGAAAACGGGACGGTATTAGTTGGGATATTTCTGTTCTGAGACGTTGTAGGAACTAAATGGTCCTGCCGTCGTTGACCGTAAGGAACATTGATGGATTGGTCTGGACTCACAGGTGGCTGATGGGATCGCGAGGTAGTTTTAGGGGCATATCTTGATGTTTGGATAGTCTGCGGCGGTTGTTGATTACCACTTGGAAAATACGATGCGGTACTAGGGATGTGAGGTGGCTGTGCTTGACTGGTAGGGATTTGTGTGGATTGTGGGGGTTTCCGGACCACAGACGGTGGGGGATTAACAGGAACGTTTCGGGGAAAATTTTGATATGAAGGCGACAATGATGGTGGATTACTAGGAGAATTTAGAGGTAAATTCTGATTAGATGAAACAGGCTGACGAGTACTAGAACGTTCCAAGAAATTCTGTTGTGGTGGAGTTGAAACTAGACTTGAGGAATTATTATTCATGCTTTGTTCAAACCGGTGATAATTTGAAACTTTCTGGTTATTTCCTGGCATGGTTTGGCGCTGTTGGTTTGTCGTGGGATAAACAGGGCTCGGATTTTGACCAAAAGAAGCATTACTAGGGCCTGGATATTCACCAGGGCTTGTCTGCAATTCATTCTGGTTTTTCCGTGCAAAACCGGCATTTTGCATATTCTGTTGGCCGCTCGGTGATACGTGACAACCACGATTGGGATTTTGACCAAAAGAAGCATGACTAGGGCCTGGATATTCACCAGGGCTTGTCTGCAATTCATTCTGATTTTTCCGTGCAAAACCGGCATTTTGCATATTCTGTTGTTGGCCGCTCGGTGATACGTGACAACCAGGATTGGAATTTTGACCAACCCAAGCTTGAGCAGAACTTGAATATTGAGCGGTCGGTTGTTCATTCCGAATATTCTGTCGCGCCAAAACCGAACCTGCATTTGGTGTAATCTGTTGACTAGCTGAAGACGTGGAATAGCCAAAGCTTGAATATTGACCAGTGTTAGTCGGTAGTTCATTCTGAATATTCTGTCGCGGGAAGCGGGACAAGTCTACACTTGACGCAATCTGTTGATTAGCCGAAGACGTGGAATAGCCAGAGCTTGAATATTGGCCAGTGTTAGTCGGTAATTTATTGTGAATATTCTGTCTTGAACCTGCATTTGGCATTTTCTGTTGGTTTGTTAAAGATGTGGGAAAACCAGAGCTTGAATATTGACCAGTGTTAGTCGGTAATTCACTTTGAATATTGTGTTGGTTTGTTGAAGACGTGGAATAGCCAGAGCTTGAATATTGACCAGTGTTAGTTGGCAATTCATTGTGAATATTCTGTCTTGAACCTGCATTTGACATATTCTGTTGGTTTGTTAAAGATGTGGGAAAACCAGAGCTTGAATATTGACCAGTGTTAGTCGGCAATTCATTGTGAATATTCTGTCTTGAACCTGCATTTGACATATTCTGTTGCTTTGTTAAAGATGTGGGAAAACCAGAGCGAGTAACATTCTGAGTGTTCTGTTTTGTAAAAGGTGAACCAACATTTGCCATACTCTGCTGACTGGTTGAAGTCGAGGAATGGTTTGAATATTGACCAAACGAAGATTGACTGGAGCTTGAATATTGACCAGTGTTAGCCCGTAATTCATTCGGAATATTCTGTCGTGCAAAACTTGAACTCGCATTTGGTATTTTCTGATGATCGCTCAAAGATGCGGAATAACCAGGACTTGAATGATGACCAGTGGTACTATCCACTTTATTTTGGCTATTCTGTCGTGACAAATCCAAATTTGGTACAATTTGTTCATGTCCGCTTGTAGCTTGGTTGTTATAGATCACGTTTTGAGATTGGCGAGATAATAAATCATTCTTCTGCGAGTCTTGATTATAGCGTTGGAAATTCTGGCCGACACTGCTGTTTGAATATACATCTTTGCGTTTGTTGGTTACGTTAGTATTTTGATCATGCGCAGAAGCGGAGTTGGATGCCTTTAAATTTCCTTTCGCGTGCGTTGTTCCCTGACTAAATGATTCTCTCTGCGAATCTCTCTGTGAATTTTGAGCAGAGGTCCGACCATTATAGACATTGGTGAAGTCACCATTTTGATAATGTGCAGTGGATGAGACAACTGCATTTGAAAGTTCTGTCACATTCTTGGGGACACTCGTTTGACTATAAATATCCCTTTGCGAATCTTCGCAACTTGAATAACCGCTAGAATTCTTTAATATGGGTCTGGCTTGTTTGTTTACGCCTTCAAAAGGTTGGAGACGAGCGGATGCAGTAGCGGGCAGTCTTGCTGACATGAAACGTACTTTATTCCTCTCTTCTTCACTGGTATAACCTTGCACGCTGATTGGTTTGCCACCGTCCCAACCCTTCACGCTGATTGGCTGTTTTCCTAACTCGTTCCCACTCCCTTGAGCGCTCCCCTCGCTGTCTTCAGACCACGTGAGAGGCTGATATTTGCTTTGTTTCCCGCTGTTTGTCAGCGGTTGATAAGGACTTGACGTGTCGCTGTTTAGTGAAAGAGAATTGTCTAGTTTTTCTCTGATGCCTTTAAGCTCTTCTGAAAACGAGTCTTGCGCGCGATCTTTGCTCGACGAAGATTCTTTCTCATCTGAAAAACACATATAAAATGTTGTAAAATCATACAGTAGGTAAATTATAAACCCTTTAAGTGGCAATATGCCCTGTTGTGCCCTATGTTAATATTTTACTCTGCCGAAAGTCGTGGGTTTTTTCTGGGTGCTCTGGTGTCCTCCCACAGGGAAAGTTGACAGGGTGGGTTAGAATAAACACAGTTAAGAAAGTAATATCAAGTATTGTTGTAAAGATAAAATAGTCTAGGCTAAGTATGTAATAGACCTTTCCCCTTTTGAGTGAAATTTTGAACTAGACAAGTCTGGACAAAAATTTCATCACAACTTGAAAGAGCATCACAAAATTAGTAATATTCCGAAATTTCGTTGCGAAATGTTGTAAAATGCGGATAATATAGCCTCGCAAAGTTTGCCGTTTTTCAGTCATTTTGTATTACAAATGGGAAATTGATAATCAGTTTGATCATCTGATTACAGTATCAATTTCCCGTTTGTAATGCAAAATGACTGAAAAACGGCAAACTTCGCAAGGCTATATTATCCGCATTTTACAACATTTCGCAACGAAACTTCGCAATATTACTAATTTTGTGATGCTCTTTCAAGCTGTGATGAAATTTTTGTCTAGACTTGTCTAGATCAAAATTTCACTCAAAAGGGGAAAGGTCTATTAGGTGAACCTAATACTTGATCATATCCGTAAGTAAATTTGGACTGTAAAAATGCTAAATGGACATTTCAAAGACTAAGGTAGTCAGATCCTTCGAGCAAGCCAGTGAATATTGCACATGACTAGGTCGTAGAGAAATTTATCATCAATTTAAGAACCTTGATTTTCTTCAAATGGTGATTTCGACAAAACAGCGTATTCATTGTTGACCAGTTCATCGTTCAAACAAATCTGGAATAAGAAAGAAGATTGTGATCAATTGGCAGTTACTGAAGTGAGAAAATAACGCAAATAGACAAGTCACTATAAATGTTCTCCAGGGCACACAAAACATTAAACAATAGCTTGAAATCAATACAATACGAGATGTGTATGATTTATACGCACCATTGTATCAGAGGCAGTAGCAAAGAGTAAAACATGGTGAATGCCATCATCATCAATGTGTTTCACATCCAGTTGAAGATTACAGCCTGAAAAGATGAAAATGTGTGTTTCCATTGGGTAGATTACATTCATTGTTATAGAAAAATTCTAATCACAAAGTTGGTACAGACTTGTATCTGAAAATTCAAATGCCAAGGAATATTAAACAAAAGAAATGAATTACCATTTATTTGTTTTTTGAACCACTCTGTTGCAGAAATGTCCCATGTGTCACCAGGTCTGAAAAATAAGTAAAATATAAAATTTCACTAAGCACTACCATACAACAGAAGGTAACGGTTAACCACTAAACTGAATTCAGTTCAACAAACTGCTGCATAGACTTACTGTTTTTTGGTTGTGAGATCAAAATATGACGTGACCATTGATAAGGGTTTCAACCCTGACAAAACACACTCCATCGTTTGATAAGGAATCTTCAGAAACTCTTCAGGTATTTCTTGAACCCTAGAAAAAATATTGATAGATTTATTGGCTTCTGACAAGACTTTTTAAAAGCCAGATTCGATCTGCACACAAACAGGTTAAATTGCAAGCTACTTCTTATTTTACTGATTCAATGAATAAAGGAATATATTGTATGTTGGAATAGCCAAGCATCCTCAAAAGTCATTCTTTACCAAATTCCAGGTACCAATGTTCTCTCACCAAGGTCGACAAGTAAAACTCTAAATTAAAAAAACAATATAAACATTACAGAGTATTACTGCTTGCTGCAAATATACTCACAGATTACGGCTAGTACTTCATAATATAATCTTGATTACCTTGCTTGAGGTCCATTTATTGTTTGAAAAATGCTGAGAACTTTAGCACGATACCAACATCTATCTGACGTCCGCTTTACCAGACAAATCTAGTAATTCAAAAACCCAAACTCTAATCATAACCCTAATCCAATTCCAAACCTAAATCCATCCTAATCCCACCCTAGCTAGTCCTAACAGTAGAGATGTTAACGGCTTACTGACTGAGCGTGAGAAATATCAGACCAAGGTTTTTTAGTATGGACCGAGCGACGAAGGAGCGAGGTCCATGCAAACAACAGAGGTCTGGTATTTCACAGTACAGACCAAACAAGCGAGGTCAATAATCGGTTTATTATATGGCTGAACTGAGTCTGTGAGCATATGCTTTTCGTGAAAATTAAATTGGCTATCGTCAGTTTCACTGGGTAACAATATACGGCATAGGCATGCATGCTCAATCAAAAACAATTTGGTTTGTTTGAAATTTTTATCTGTAAATTTTAATGACACACAATTGGAAAATTAAAAAGCAAAAATTTTCTCTGTTTGCAAAGCAAAAATTTCCCGTCAGATAAACGTCATTCGGGACACCGGTCCAGATCTATACGGAAAATACGGACCACAGTCCAGATATGGGGTTTTACGGACCGCTTGTCAACCAATCAGAATAGAGAATTTTGAAAAGCCATATAATAAAAAGATTTATTTTATAGATCAGCTGCTATAAAGAATAGCTGCTATGAACAAGTCTGAAACAAAGATGTCTCCTTGCCATTAATAATAATATTAATTGTGTATATCTACATTCTCCATACTTTCATAAAACTAACCATTTTATGTAGCTGTTCGAAGTTAGGGCAATTTGTGAATTCGAATGAAGCATACATGAGCGATTTAGCTGTCAAAAACTTGTAAAACTCATCTTCAAATGTGATTTTAAGTTTGCTGTTTGCGGTCTGTCCTAAATGTTAATCTTAAGGTCTCTATAAATAATCTCCAAACAGAGTAAACTGCTTTCTATATTAAAAACAGTAGTTCTAACTGTATTACCTTTCCTTTCTTTGGAATTTTTGATTTCTGATTGCTTGTTTGTTTTTCAGCTTTGCAACAATAATCATTGATGTTCCCGATCAAGGTGTAATATTTCTCAGCTTCAGTCTTGTTCCTTGACGAAGGTTTACACCAAAAATGACCCGCATCAACGATCTGAAAAACAATAAGCTTCTTTGCACCTAAAACAAACTTTCTACCCTGGTACGCGAGCAGAAATTAGGCTTGGGCGGTTTGACTTTTTGGACAAGTTATAATGTGTATTGTGTAGTTTTGTGTAGTTATCACATGTAAAGTTATAAAATTTGTGGTAAATGTCCATTTGCAGTGATTTATGCAGTTGTTTATAATAATGCAGGCAAATTATAATGTAAAGCGGTATTAAAGTTTTTCAGTTCAAAAATGAAATTGTGTTAAGGTATATTAACAATTCAATAACTTTCCAGTCTGGCCCTTCACTAACTGGTTGACACTATCAAAGTTTATCACAGTAGGAATTTTGCATGGGTAAATTCTAAGTTTTGAAGGATTTGTAAGAAATGTTTGAGGGAATGCACAATTCCTACTGTGATCACAGAAACTTTGATAGTGTGAACCAGCCATTTATATTCAACCAGACACAATATGCAGGATATATTGTCACATGGCAGCAACTTTCATATTTTGATGGAAAAGTGTCAAGTGCCGAAGTGCAATTTTATATAAGCAAATAAATAGCAATGAATGCATATTTTCAAACTCTCATCAAACAATTACAACCCGAACACCTGCATCTTACCTTATATAGCTCGACCTCCAACATTTTTACACGATTTTTTTCAGAAATCAAAAATATTTTTCACATTTTCAGCAAAAGCACATGTGTTTACTTCGGGATTCCAACACGAGCCCACGAGTACTTTTTACTTCCGCATTACTTCGTGTTGTATACATTATTTTACATTATGTATATAGTGGAACCAGGCCTCATGCGCAGTTTTCACATACAAAAGACTCTGGAGGAACATGAATGGTAGAAATCTTCATACCATGAAAGCACTCTGCCATGAAAGTTTCTAAGTCAGGATGTGCTTTCAAAGTCTCTTGACCTAAAATTCTCTTCGTCACTATGCGTTTTGTGCCTTTCGAAGTCGGTCTATGATGAAAAAAAAAATTCAGGTTATTCCTAAATACGTACAGCTAAGGAATCATTGGATCAATAAGAAATGATCCTTACTGGACCTCTAGAAAGAACAGTTTAGAACTGATAGAACTATCCAGTATACATAAAGTTAGTTTAGTTTAGGTTTCCTCCTGTAGTAACACTGGATCAATAAGAGATGATTCTTACTGGACCTCTAGGAAGAACACTTTAGAACTGATAGAGCTATCCAGTATAAATAAAGTTAGTTTAGTTTAGGTTTCCTCCTGTAGTAACACTGGATCAATAAGAGATGATTCTTACTGGACCTCTAGGAAGAACAGTTTAGAACTGATAGAGCTATCCAGTATAAATAAAGTTAGTTTATTTTAGGTTTCTTCCTGTAGTAACACTGGATCAATAAGAGATGATCCTTACATGCAGGACCTCTAGGAAGAACAGTTTAAAACTGATAGAGCTATCCAGTATAAATAAAATTAGTTTAGTTTAGGTTTCTTCCTGTAGTAACACTGGATCAATAAGAGCTGGATTTTACTGGCCTCTTGGGAGAACAGTTTAGAACTGATCATGGAACTGATAGAACTATTTATGAATAAAGTTTTGATCCCAGACTATTGGAATTTAATCTCCCCTATAAAATATTTTCAAGTATTCTTTAAATAACTTTATCTCAAAGTCTGGGCAATTGTGTTGTCATTCAAAGGTACTTAAACACTCATTCAAGAACTTATCTAGCGAGAGATCTAACTTACGGAATCTATGGTAATTAGTTTGCGATGAAGAACGCTCAGAAATAATCGCGCGTTTCAAGTGTCTAGAAGTCTATTGCATTGTTCAGCTTCTTAGGTTCCAAGAAGTATTACTATATGAAAGATTAGTTTGAGAAGATGACGGAAAGCGTGTAATGAACTGTACAGGATTAAGATTGAATGATGGTAAGTCGTAGTCTTTGAAGGACTCTGTACAAGTGTATATGAACAATAGGATTAACACGCCATATTGCACCATTGACAATCATCACGAAAATTCCCATCGCGGTCTTTGGACTTTACTAAGTTATGAATGTACCCTCATCTAAACATTCATAACTCACGGCTCATTCACATACATCGGAAGAAAAAAGTTGGGCACAAATTGCAAGTGTTGCCTTCAGGGTCTTTCTGCCTAGGGTTGGAACATCGCGCTTATCATGTAGCTAACCTAATGCATATGCCTGTAATGTAAAAGATCTAAACTCATTGCTTGAGCTTTATTTGCGTTATATAGGCTTGGCACAAGAATAGTTCGATGTTTGAACTAATCTTAGTGTTGATAAGGGATCAAATGAGAATGAGAGTTGGCAGTCACGCGATCTTGGTTAGCTGTTCTTAATGCTTTCCCAACACTATCATGTATTCTATTGAAGTTGAAACATAGTTGGAACACTCGTCAAACTTTTATTTTGTGCATCTACAGCTTGAAATGTCCCCTGTAACAATACATGACTGATGACTGCAAACTCTCATTAATAATTAGCCAACCGCATCACTTTATTTTGCTCACGTGATAATACTGGATGCCTGATAGTGAAGTGTATTGATTGAGCCCTATATGCCTGGATCAAAATAAAGACCTCACAGTCGGATTTGATATTTCAGTGTAACGGAAGGGGATATGCTTGTTCTTGTCAGTGCAAGGCGATAAAACCATGACACTAGAGAATTTTCATCAAACTCATTTCCTTCTTCAGAAAATTAGAGGAAGGACCATAGGGAAGGACTCTCTGTACCCAACATGTTTGAGAGAACCGACTTGTGTTAAACACGCGGAGTTAGTTGCCTCAAACATTTCTTACAAATCCTTCAAAACTTAGAATTTAACTATGCAAAATTCCTACTGTGATTACAGAAACTTTGATCTAGTGTAATTAACCAACCTTAGCCCAAAAGGTTCGCATGAACTGCACGTATTTTCTGTATTAACGAAAGGGCGTGACGGACACATGCTCCTAATTTTAGACATTCGTCTTTGTTCTAGGAAGGAGACTATTTTTAACTTAAGTTCTTTTAGAACTACTTGAAGGATGGAATCGGATGTTACTTTGTACCGTTAAAGTGACGTCAAAGCTTCTTTATGGCGAGGACGATAATCCCGATTCGAAAATGTGACGAAACCAAGCCAACCAACAGATGTAATTTACTATCGATTACATTCCGGCGGATTTACACTACACAACTTTTGCCTAAAACTGTCGCATGCAACCTGCTTACAACTTGAGTTGTACTGTGTAAATCAAGCACACAACTCACCTATGACAACGTAAGCAAGTTGTGTACTTGATTTATACAGTACAACTCAAGTTGTAAGAAGGTTGCATGCGATAATTTTAGGCAAAGGTTGCGTACTGTAAATCGTCCTTTAGGGATTTCATCCTTGGAGGAAGTTGTTATGAAAGACCTTTAGTTAAAAATAGTCTCCTTCAAGTAACGTGGGATTTCATGTTCCGAGGAAGTTGTTACGCATGACCTTCAGTCAAAGAAAGTGACCTTCAATCTTTCCCGAGTGCGTCAATCCAGACAAAGACAGTAGATTTTAAACATACGGCGCTTTTAATGCACTGCAGATGAACGCAGACCCCACCATGTGACTAGCTGAGATCGTCTGGTAACTGGGTGGAATTCAATACCGTGAGAATTGATGTGAAATAAATGTGGATTGTAAGATAAACAATTTAATGTGTTCACGTATTTATGTTTTGACATGTCAATACTGTTTGCTGCGCCAATCTGACGTACGCTCAAATTACTGTTACTGCTGATGAAAGTAGCAAACGTATATCCTTCCTAGAGGTGCAGTAAAGGTCACCACTTGTTGATCCTGTGTTACAACAGGAGGAAACTTACACTTAACTAACATTATTTTTTCTGGATAGCTCTATCAGTTCTTAACTCCCTAGAGGTCCAGTAAGGATCATCTCTTATTGATCCAGTGTTGCTACAGGAGGAAACCTAAACTAAACTAACTTTATTTATACTGGATAGCTCTATCAGTTCTAAACTGTTCTTCCTAGAGGTCCAGTAAGGATCATCTCT